GGGGCCTAGGACTGGTGGAGGGTCTCAGGATAAGGAGCAACTCAGGGCTCAGGGCAATGTAATGAGAGGCTCAGCCTGCTTGCCGTGGTTTCTGCTCTGCCCAGCGAGGAGCATGTTGTCCAGTCCCATTCCTCCCACTGCCTGTGGCTCCTATCTTCCCCTGCAGCCAGGGCACCTGGGTCTGGACTGTGTCGGGCCTCTGAATGGCATTCCCAGGCAGATGCTTGCAGCATCTATGGCGGGGAGGGGTAGAAGGGTGGGCAGACCAGAGGCAGTTATGGCCACTGGTCCTAGATCTGGGGGGAGTGGGGCCCAGAGATGCCAGACAGTTCCCCTCTTTTCATCTTGACTGGACTGAACAGCCACAGATCTGCCAGTCAGATAGGTTAGAGCCAAGGGCAGTGCTGTCTGAGCTGCACCCTGTCTGTGGCATCCTGGGCAGGGATGACCAGGCCCCTGGGAGCCAGAAGAGAGCCCAAACCTGGCTGGAGAAGCAGGGCTCTGGGCACGTCCCCTGCTGGGCCTTGGCACCATGTCCTCCTTTCTGTTGGTGCCTGTTGGGCACCCGGGACCTAGGCAAGTAGCCCTGACTGCAGGAAAGAGGAGGGCAGAGGAGGATAAGGGAAGGAGCACTGTGGTGGGAGTCAGGTGTTCTGGATTATCATCTGACAGCCCCTGATTTAGGTGACTGCCTGAGGGCAGCTTCCTCTCTCTGGGCCTTAGTCTCCAGTCCGTAAGGGGATGGGGCTGACTCTGGGCCTGTCCAGTCCTAGCGGAGTCCTACAAACAGGGCAGGGGTGCTGAAGTCAAACAGATCCTCGACTAGTAGGTCTTGCCACATCTCTGCAAAGCAGGCGATGATTGTACCAATCTCACGGACATTTGTTGTGAGGTATAAAAATAGTGCAATATGTAAAGTGCTTAGCACAGGGCTTGGCTCTAAAGTGGAAAGAACTATTTTTCATGTCCTTGGAGTCAGTGAAGGAACATCTTGTCTTTACATTTCTCAGGAAGGAACGGAGGTCTCAGTGGGAAAGAGGAACTGCCATAAGCGCTCGCTGCCAACGGCAGGACTTGAACTTGGGTCCTCAAGCCGCAGGTTGTGCTGTGCAAACCTGGGCCCGGTAGCTTCCAGTCCCCTTCCTCCCACTGCCCTCTGTCTTGTCTTGTCCCACTTCCTCCCCTTGTCCTCTGTCTCTTGGTTTCCTGCTTCCGTCTCCCCTTCAAGGAGTGCCACCTCTGTGGGACACCTCAAGGCACAGGGCCTGACCCCCACCTCCTCTCCTTCTGCGTGCGAGCCTGGCATTACTCACTGCAGTTAACGAACGAGATCACTCTCCACCCAGACCCTCTGTAGGCTCATTGCTCTCTTGGCCCACTTTCCACTGATTCTGCCCCCATGCTCACTGCCCTTAATGGGACAGGCCTCACGGGGACCGTGTGGATGGCACGTTTTCTATGATGCCTGCCCAGGCCCTGCAGGACCCTGAGGCACTCGGGCATGTGCATGTGAGCTCGTGTAGGGGCTCTGGAAGGTGGCACGTGAGTCGGCTGTCACCCACTGCAGTGACCCAGGAATTTGGCCCTGCTCCCCGTTTGTCCCTCCCCAGGTCCATGGCGTACAGCCTGTGTTCCTGTTCCCTGTCCTAGGGTGTAGGAGCCAAGCTCAGCACCCTCCAGGGCATCCACCCCTGGCCACCAGGCTGTGACAGGCAGGCCTGCTCTTGTGTACTGCATGCAAGTTGCAGCTGGGGTGGGGGGGGCACGCACATGCGGGCTCTCCTGCTTGCCGCTTCCCTGGGGAGTGGGGAGTCTGGCAGAAACAGTCCCCCTGATGCAATCAGGGTCTTGTGCGCTCAGCACCACGCAGGCAGGGCTGGCTCCTCGCTGTCCGCCACCACTGGGCACAGCTACCAGCCTCCCGGGCACAGGGGAAGCAGTGAATTAACAGTTGTGCCTCCTCGGCGGGGTGGCAGTTACAGTCAGGATGGGGGTTGCCTGTCTGCGGCAGTGCCCACACCCCTGTGTGAGGCTCTAGAAAGTTCGGAGGTGTGTTTGTGTGTGTGTGTGTGTATGTGTGTGTATAACAAGGAGTTGCCAAGGAGACCTTTTCCTCTTCTCCCTTTTCTTCCTCCCTCTCCATCCTCTCCAGGCATCTCTGCAACATCAGGACCTTACAGCCTGGGTCCTGCCCATCCCCTAGGACTGTGGGGACAGGGTCCAGGCCGGCACAGCGAGGAAGAAAACGAATGAGACTGACAGAAAGAGAGGAAGGGAGACAGAAATTTGGAAAAGGGACAAAAAGGAAGAGGAAAGACAGAGACACCTGAGAAGAAAGGGCTCAAGGGGAGCAGGGAAGGCGTGAGGAGAGGGGAGAGGCTCAGGCCAGCTCCAAGCCAAGCTGGACTATCACCTCCTTTATTCAAAACATTAGATCCCCATTAATACAACCTCGGGGCACAAATCCCTTTTGTCCTGTTCGCTAATTTCTAAAGCAGCGTTCATTTAGTTAGTACCTGACACGCTGGGCCTGTTCTCCCGCCCCAGTCCTTTGTTCTGCAGGCATGCTGCAAACCAGGACTGGCAAGGTGATGGCCATACCTGAGCTCAGCTCCAGTGGGAGCTCAGAGAATGGCGCCTGGAGTGAGGTGTGATGTGTCCTTCCACGATTCAGAGGGAGCAGTATGAAGAGGAAGTGACTTTTGAATTTCTTAATAAGAATCATTTCCCATCTTTTGAGCATTTACAGCATGTCAGACACTGTGCTCATCTCATTTAATCCTTAAAACAGCCTTGGAGCTAGGGAATGTTAGCTCTATTTTGCAGATTAAGAAATCAAGGCACAGAGAAGCTAGGACACTCATCCCCCATCACACAGCCTGTAGGTCGTGGAGTCACTCTAACCACTGCCCAGTGCTGCCTCTCCTCTTCTCTGGGCAATGACTCAGGTGCCTTCGGTGGTCGCTGAGGACAGGTCCAGTGCTTTCCTGTGTGGAAGCAGTCTCCTCCTGGGGACAGGCTAGCGGGTCTGGGATAGGGGGGTGGTGATGCAGCCCTTCCTCAGCTTGCCTGCGGTCGCCTCTAGCCTTTAGATGTATATTCTGTGCCCTGCCCGCTACCCACCAGCTGCGCAGCCCCTGAGCAAAGGCCTCTCTTCTCTGCCTCTGAATTGCAACGTTGGCGGCAAAGCGGGAAGCATATTGTGCACAGAAACAAAACTGAGTGGTTTTTCCTTTTTCTGAAGGTGGTAATGGTGCAATTAGTGGCTAAGCCATTTACCCCCTCCTCCCCGACTCTCCTCCCCTTCCTCCCCTCTGCCTCCCTCCTGTTTCTCTCCTGGGAATAAGTGGCTGCATCAGAGTCAACTCCATCCTTCTCTCCCACTCCCGACTCTCCCAGGAAGAGGGACAGAACTGGAGGGTACCCAGATTTCCCCAGGGGCCCTAGGGGACCTAGGGTTGTATAGTCAGGGATCTGCTGGGGTTGCAGATAATGTATCTACCAAGTGAGGTGACCAGTAAGGCGATTTGGAGATTCTGAAGGGTTGGGCTAGAAAACCAAGAGAGTTGGGATCCTGGATCCTTTTATTGTGTGGTCATTGTGGGCAAGTGCTGACATGGACCTCAGCATGGAGGGCTGCGGAGGGCGCTTGAATGGAAGAGGTGGGTGTGAGGGTCCGAGATTCTGAGTTCAAGCTGCAGTGATGGGAGTAGTCATGGTCTCACTTTAGATCTTCTTTTGCCGCTTCTAGAAACTAAGAAGAGACCTTATGTTTACATATTTCAGAAAGGCCTCCACGGCTCTCAGCCTACTCTGCCTTCACAGCCTTCCTTTCCAGTGGCAGCTAAAAGGAGTGAGAGGGTCAGAGAGGGGCTGTGACTTATCCAGCATCACACAGTCAATATATGTTAAGACTGGAATTGAACTCAGATCTTTAAATGCCAGTTCTTTTTCTTCTTAACCCCCCAGGTCTTGGGGTGAGATCTTGGGGTCATAGATATGGTTACCGCCCTGAAGAGTTGAGGTTGGCAGGAAATGTGTCCACAAAATTTGGGAATGAGAATTTTAGGGCAGGTCCATGGCCACTCCCCTCCAAGCCAGGCCATGCTCCCCTCCCCACTGCTGCTTCCACCTCTTTCACCTTGACGTGGAGCACAAGCAGAAACTGGGACATGAGCCCCAGGAGACCAGATCTCCATGGCCCCTCTGGGGGCCTGGGCTAAGAGTGTGGCTAAGGAAGAGACCTCAGGAGGGGACCTGAGGGACAGCTGACTGTCATAGCTGAGCCGGGCTGGGATGAGTGGGCTGCCAGGGATGTTCCCTCCAGAACCCTGATAGCTCCTCTGCACTTCTGCCCCTAGCTAGAGTGCCAGTGTGATGGACAAGTGGCAAAGAACAGAGAGAGAGAAAGCAAAATAAGAAAGACAGAGGCAGAGGCAAAAAAATTAGAAGGGAGCAGAGAGTTACAGAGGCTATAGTGATCTACTGAGAGAAAGAGAGATCCCAATGAATTAGCCATCGTTTCCCTGTAAACCTTAGAACCTGGCAGTTGCCAGGGCAACAGGGCAATACCTGTCTCTCCAGAGGAGATGAAGTTGCCAGGGTAACTGCTTCCTGTCTTTTCTGGGGACCATCCGGAATGTGGCACCCTCTGGCCGTTACCATGGTAACTGCCTTTTTGCCCCACTTAATCCCATCCTGTCTGTTACAAGGGCCCCACAGTTAGAATTGGGGGTGGTGGGAAGACTGAAGATCACTTGTGGACTAAGTTTGTTCTCCTCCCCTTCTGCCAGCCCCTCCCTAAGTCCATCACCTTGGGGGTGCTGGGTCCACCCACCCCCGGGCCCACACAGGCCTGCAGTATTGTGTGTGGTAGGGCCAGAGCGTCCGGGAGCAGGTTTTGCAGTGGAAGGCAGGCAGGTGTTGGGGAGGCAGTTACCGGGGCAACGGGAACAGGGCGTTTCAGAGGTGGTTGCCATGGGGACCTGGATGCTGACGAAGGCTCGCGAGGCTGTGAGCAGCCACAGTGCTCTGCTCAGAAGCCCGGGGCTCGTCAGTCAAGCTGGTTCTCAGTTCGCACTTGGCAGCACGGGCAGGCGAGTGGCCCCTAGTTCTGGGAGCAGCAGCGCTCCTGTCCTGGTCCTACAGCCCCAAGCCTCGCCTGCCCGCCCAGCGCCAGGATGGCCACCATCACCTGCACCCGCTTCACGGAAGAGTACCAGCTCTTCGAGGAACTAGGAAAGTGAGTTGCACCTCAGAGAGTCCTGGAGGGCTCAGGGGGCTCAGCATCAGGGCGGGGGGGGGGGGGCACCTGCCCNGCCTAGAGTTGGGCACAGGCATGTTTGCCAAGATGTGCCAAGGCTAGCTGCGTGCTTGGAGCTGCTTGCATGTGCAGAGTGCCTAGAGTTGGGCACAGGCATGTTTGCCAAGATGTGCCAAGGCTAGCTGCGTGCTTGGAGCTGCTTGCATGTGCAGAGTGCCTAGAGTTGGGCACAGGCATGTTTGCCAAGATGTGCCAAGGCTAGCTGCGTGAGTGTGTGTATAGAGGTGAAGGGTTGACAGTGCATGGCAGTGTCTGTGCATGCAAACACACACACATACACACACAACTGCACATGACCTGGGCACACACAGATTCTTAGAAATTCAGGATTTAAAAGGGTTCTTCCCAGTCAGCCGAGTCCAAGGCTGGAATCTCCTGTTGAGTTTTTTTCTTGAGGTGGCCATCTGTCCTCAACTTGGTTACTTCTGGTGACAGAGAGCTCATCATCTCCTGGGTAGTTCCTCCTGCCTTTAGGCACCTACAGCGGCTGTGTGGAGTGGCCGACTTCTTTATAAGCACAGCCCCTCCCCACCTTCCCCCTGCCAGCTCTGCCAAGGGTGAGAGCAATGGTACAGCAGGGGTTAATAACTGAGCCACTGTTGAGACTTCTTGGGTGTTGGGAGGAGGGGAGAGACAGTTAGTGAGCTGTGGGAGGGGGGATTCTGCTAATGCAGGGGCTAGTGATGTGAGGGTGCACAGCTCTGGTCCCTTGGCAAAGTTGTCCAGCCTCAGAGCTCATTTCCTGCCTCTGATGACTGGTGTGGAGAGAAAGATGGGAGGAGGTGTGGGAGGGAGAGGAGAGCCCCTTGGGATAGCCCCATGAATTGTGGAGTGTCCGGGGAGCACTCCCAGATGCCGCCAGTTAGGTTTGTGAAGCATCTGGAGATAGATCTACAGTAGGGGTACAGTTTGGAGGCAGAGTTTGCCCTATGGGCAATGCAGCTCCAGTGCCCTGGGTGGCCCCTGTTATAGTAGCAGGGGTGCAGGGGAGAGGCACCCTGTAAGCAGGTATGTGCTGCTGTAAGGTCTGAATATGCACATGCAAGGGTGCATTATGATGTGTGTTTTTGTGTAAGCACCGACTCTGGGGTACACTTGTGTGCACTGAAAAGGTGTGCAAGTGTTCATGTGTATGTGCCCTGGGGGAAGGTGCTGGTGTGTGCTTCATGTGGAAGTCCTGAAAATGCAAGTGTGCCCTGCAGGGGTGGGTGGATGCAAGTGGCACAAGGAGGTCCATTGGTTGATTTGCATGAGAACGAAGATGCATACACGCGTCACTTATGTACACATGTATGGCTGGTTGGAGCTGTGTGCACATCAGCTGTGTGTAAATATATGTCTGTGTAAGGATGCACATATGGGACTTGGGCTGGCTGGTGTCCCTGTGAGGTCTGGATATGGATGTCTGTGTGGACCAGGGGCCATACCCACGGGAAGGCTCATGTGTGTGTGTCTGAGGCCTGGGCCCATGGGCTCGGGTGGGAGTGTGGGTACTGAAGGCATGTGCAAGCTCAGGCTGGTGTCTGCATATGTGTGGGAGGTGGGCCCGTGACTGTGTACAAGTAGGCTGCCTGCACACACACATACACGCACACACACTTGCACACCAGGCTATCCTGACACCTATAGGCACACACCAGACCCTTGTATAGGCACACACCCTAGTGCAGACGTGTGCTCACTCCTGTCTGCAGACTTCCTGTCTTTCTGAGTGTGTTTTTGTCCTGGGGTTGGGGTGTGGAGAGCAGGAATGAAATGTTTGGGGCTGCTCTGGAGGACCAAGGCTATCTGCCTCACTTGTGCAGGGACCCCTTCTCAGCTGGGTTCCAGCATCCACTGGAGCCAAGGATTTCCTGATCAGCTGGGCGCTGCCTTTCAGGGTGCGACCGAGGCTCGGTTCTGGGAGGACTGCGTCACAGAGTGCAGTGAAATGGAGTTGAGATGTGACTCAGGCGCTTATAAAACTGCTGTTTTGCCCTAAGAGGAGATGGATATCATGAAGACTGGCTGGTCTGGGGGTGACTTGTCAGTGAGAGCCGTCATGAGCCTTCTTGGCCCCACTATCTGCCAGGGCTCTTGCAGGGATCAGGGCATGGGCAGAATTTCTGGAGACAGAGAGCCCTTTTGTGACCATGGCAGAAAGACTGAGGGTGGCAGGCATGGCCAGGCCTAATCTGATCAATTTCCTTCCACAATTACCAGTGCTCTTAACCTTTTTAAGGTCACATATTCCTCCAGGAATCTGATGAAAATCTATCTTCCCTAGAAAAATGCTCAAACCTACGAAATGGTACAGGCAAGGTCAGGACTCACCGGACATCAGGAAGTCTAAGGATGGAGCCTGAGGATGCTCGTATTGGAAAAGAAAAGGAGATGAGGCGCTACCCCTCTGATGCCTGGGTTTAAAAGGCCAGGGTGCATCACTGGGGAGGCAGGGCTTTCCTGATTCACTCAAAGCTTCAGCCCAAACAACCAGGTAGTGGCAGCACCCAGCAGAGGGCACAAGGCCCGGACCTTACCACCCATAGTGTTGTGACACTGGGCAGGCTATGGCACCTGTTTCCCATAACCTGTAACCTGCAGATAAACAGGGACTGGGAGGATGAAGTGAGATGGTTCTCATGAAGACACAGTGACGCTTGGGGCACCCTGGCATCACCACTGCCCTCAAATGGGGGCTGGGACCTGCTAGGGCTTTGCTTTTTGACAGGAGTTTGCCCAGCTTGGCAGAAGGGGTTGACTGAGCCCTGCCACTCACCCACTGGGCTGGCTGGGATGGGACAGCTCCTCTTCTGTTGGGATGAGCAGCGCAGATGCCTATGGGGCCCATCCTTCAAGGGGTGACTCAAAGTCCCGGCCAGCCAGGACACTTCTCTTACCACTTGGAAGCTGAGCTCCCACTTCCAGGAGCCCACTTCAGATCACCAGTATGATGACTGCCAGAGGCAGCTTGGCTGGCCCTCCAAGGGGCCATGGGGGTCTTTGACCTCCTTTTGCAGGGCCCTGGCCTCCTGGCTGCAGAGAAGGATTGGAGAGGGGGGTAGGGGGGTAGGGGTCAGAATTAGTGCTCTGGGGCCTCTTGATGCTCCTGGATGAGGTCCCACTGCAGCATATGATTCACATAAGCCAGGAACTTGAGTCCAGTTTCCCTAGAGGGTTGGGGTGGGGCTGTCTCTGGGGACCTATAGACTAGCTCACTCCCTCCTCCCTTGACACCCCAGTCCTCCTTCCTCCCATAGGAGAGGGAAACAGAAGCCCAGACCTTAGGAGCACAGAGGCTTGTTTGGGGGCAGAAGGCAGGTTGCAGCACCCCCAGCTCTAGGGTCAGAGTGGGCCTGGGTGCTAGGGCCAGAGCTCCCTGCAGACCCAACCTTCTGGAAGACCAGGACCCGGGGTGGGTGGGGCAGCGGGGGGGAGGAAGGGGTGAATTCCAGGAGATAGAGAAGGAGGATGCCTCCTCTAGCCCTTGACATTCTCCGGGCTTTGAATCCCAGTCCCAGGAGAGGTTAGTTAGGGAGGCAGAATTACCCTGCAGCCTGTGTAATCACTGGGCTGTACAGAGAGCCTGGGAAGGAGATTTTGCTTGAGAGGGGGAGGGAGGCTAGAGAGAACACGCAACCCAGCCTTTTCTCTCTAGAAACGGAGATCTGAAATTGACTCAAGGGTGGTGGTGGAACTGGGGGAAGGGCTGCAGGGGCCAGCAAGATTGCCCGAGGGAGAGGGGAGAGCTGGCTCTGGAGCCCCCAAGGCTTTATATCATGAAGAAGGCTCAGGCTGGGCTGATCAGTGGGGGACACTAGAGACCAGAGGCAGCTCCCTGTTCCGGGGTGGGGTGGAGGGGGGAAGCCCAAGGTCCTGGGTGCTTAGGTTCCTTCGCTCTTGGACACAAGCTCTGACATCTGCAGGATGCGTTTCTTAATCCCACTCTCTTCCTGGTGGGGCTTTTAGGAGGATCCTCGGTGTAATACTGGAGAAGAGAAAGTACCTGTGCAATGAGGCACTACTCCCCGCAAAGACAGGACTGTGCTTTTATTTTGCTTCTGACCACCTGTCACCTTCATAGTGCTTTGGGGCCAGTGTGGCACTTCTCTACACAAGAGCTCATCTCTGAGGGAGGGAGAGGACTTACTCGCCCATCTTACAAATGAGCAGACTGAGGCTTGAGAAGGTGAAATGACCTGGCTCGGGGGACTGGTGGCAGCACTCAAGCTTGCGTGTAGGTCCCCAGCACCGTGCATACGGAGAGAAGATTAATAAGGAGGACCCCTCATGGTGCCCTTCCTGGGGAACACTTGCAGGGAAGAAGGGTGTGCCCTTGCGGGTGAGGGAACTCGGAACCGTCGCTTATTTTCCCATCATGATTCCACCTCTAATTGACTGTGCCAGATTCCTTGTCCTTGGTGTACCTCAGCTTTACCATCTGTGAATTGGGGATCAGAACACTTCTGCAGATGCTGGAAGGCACCGTTAGAGCTGCTACCCTCTTTAGCCTCTGTCTGTGAAAGGCACCTGTGGGAAATTTCAGGCTTCCCGAACACCAGAGCTGGGAGGACCATAGACTTTGTCTCCTCACAGCATCAATGGTGGAGCCAATGCCCAGAGAGACGCAGTTTGCCCAAGGCCGCAGGAAGAGACTGTGGCAACGGTAGCCAGGGTAAGGGGCCAGGTGATGTTCAGGGGCCAGCAGCTAAGGATGCGAAGTTGGGGGGCAAGTGGGACAAGGGAAGGGGACAGCCTTCCCCCACTCTTCCTCCAAGCCACCAGAGCGGAAGGCACGCACATGTTCCGGTGCTTGCCGCAGCCCTCCGCCCCCACGCGGCCGCCCCCACACAGGCTGAGACACTGACACCGCCGAGCCCGCTCCCGCCTGCCCGCCTCCCTGCACAGGCACGCGGTGACTGCTGCCAGCATCCCTGCAG